ATGTCAACCCGCCCCAGAGAGCCTCAGCCTGGAGATGCACAGGTTCCTCTAAAAGGTGTTTCGAATGTTTGCATAGGTAGCTCAGCGCTGGATTAGGGTATCTCCTAGTTGGCCACACCCGGATAGAGCATTCGTATTTTTTCTGTGGTCTGCTGCTTCTTCTTGGTTCTTCTTATTATTGCTTTCACATTTCGCTGGCTGACCACGTTCTCAGCGCAGCGCGTTGCTACACCATTTATCATGCACTCGACAATTTTTCACTGCATAACTCAGGGCGCCACGTACGACCGGGGCATGCCACAGCCTCAGCGGCTGCAACTTTCTTTTAGCAGCACTTCCACTTTATTGAAGGGGAAGCTTAGAGTGTGGAGTCAGGGGTGGAGTGGTGGGTTTATCTGCAATCAGTGGCCTGCACAGTTTCACACATGGCCACTGCTAGATAGGTTTTGATTAATGCAACTGCAGGGGAGAAAATCGCCAGAGAGCTCGAATTCGATGCGATTCGATTCGATTCGGAATGAACCTAAGTTGACCCTTGGCTCAACTAGAATCTAGACAAGAGTTGACTTTCATTTAGCTAAGGCAACGAGCTTGATTCATCTGACGTTGACTCGCCAAATCAACGGCATCAAATGTGCGGGTCCCGTATATTCATTCATGCCACATGCCACATGCCCCACACCCCATGCACCCATGCAATCCCCATTTTCAATGGCATTTCCATTGCGATTTCCATTCCGATTACCATTTCGCATTCATTCTTCATCATTTGCTTAGCATGTCACTCAGCACATTTGGCATGCGCTCGTCTATTTAGCTGATTGTCTGCCAGCCAGGAAGAGCAGCCAGCATGTCAAAGGAGCCCTCGCTGTTTCACTCTGTTGCCGTTGCTGTTGCTGGCGTGTGTGTTCAGCATTTTTGTTGACATATTCATTGGCAAATGCAATAATGTTAGATTTAAATGCTTGACAGCGTTTAGTGCGTTTACGTAAAGCAGGCTTAAACAGCCGCCGGCGGCATACACGCCCATCCAACCGCCCATTCTTCAAATTGAATTTGGGCAACGCTTTACGCGTTTGTCACGGAAATTGAAAAGCATCGCCACGCTTCCTTTAAAGTTCGATTTCAGTTAAAATTTTATTTTTTTTTTTACTTTTCGCTTTTCATTTTGCTCGATTTTTCAGCGTCGTGAGTTGACAAAAGTTGTGCAAATTATTTTGCCATTGCTGGCAGCAGCATGTTGCCATCAGCTTTTGACACACTTTGATGTCAGTTGCATGCAACCAACTAATTTCCAAGCAGACCCAAACGTGCCCGCACCCGTCAATTGATGAATGACAGGCGCCAGGAACTAGTCGGGTAATGCGGGCAAAGCGCTTCAAAATGCCTTAAGCAGCGTTCGCCAGCTTAAGTTGGTGGCTTCGAGTGGCGCAGGATACGCCGGAGTAGCATCATCATCCTGTTTGTTACGACTATTATTATTTTCAGTTTAATGAAAAGTGCAATTTACCCGCCACCCGGCTGCCCACATTTTCCATCCAAACCGACTTCAACGACGTCGCCTCACTTCAATTCAAAAGCAAATGTGCAACTCGGCTGCACAAAGCTGGCGAAGACGACAGCAAAATTCGTACCCCCGACTCTATGGTTATGCCCTGCACTGTGCCCGCTGCCACTTTACAATCTTATCGATTTTTGTTTGGCTTTTAGACAGCGCCTCGCCGTTGCCTTTGCCTTTGCCTTTGAGCCTTCCTCTTGTTTTTTTTTTCTCATATTTTTTCTTCGCCCAGCATTTACTTTATGCATTTGATAGCAGCCACTTTGATGACATTATTGAGTGTCCCCCAACTCATTCAATCTTAAAACCCATTGCTCTGGCTTTATCCATGTTGTAACAGTTTCTGTGTGTGTGTGTGTGTGTGTGTGTATCTGTATATGTGTGTGCTGCATAATGGCATTACGCTTTTAGCTGGTCTCGTCTTCTGGCCAGCTCTCAACTCCATCAATTTCAACTGCTTTTTACAATAAATTAAATCAATCGATCAAGCCGCCACGCTGACCGGGCAAAAACTGTGTCAATCAATTAGTTTTGTCGTTCACACACACACACACACACACACGTCTCAGACACACACATACACGGCTCACACCCCGGCAATAATTTTAATGAAATACAAATATAAATGAAGCAACGCCCAAACAATGACAGCTCAACGATGGGCTCAAATGGAGCTCATCAATCGCCGCAAAGTTTTTTTACCAATCAGCCTGGTCGAAATTATTTCCAGCACTCGCCTGATTAGCTGCGCCATCATTTTCAGGACATTTTTGCGGCTGGCCACGTGCAACGCATCTCAAGTAGTTCAACAAAAATGGCGTCGATAGATCCATGGAAAATGCAAAATAAATAAGCGGGCGTATGTGCTCAAGAGGCGCTACTTGTAGCTACCCTGTAGAAAGCGCTAAACAGTGTTTAAGTCCTTAGTGTCTGGCTAGTTGAGCATACCTTATGCCCTGTGCAAGTGTAGGGTATAATAAAATACACAAGCAGCCGAATCGAAAAAAATGTCGAAAAACGAATGACAAATTTTAATGTCAATAGCTGAAGACGTGCGCTCCAGCAAGGCGGCTGGGCGTGGTCTGCTCTATTAAAAACTAGGCGAAGGGGAATGCCTGCAAAGCGGGGAGGGGCGGATTTGTGGCCATTTGCTCTGGCCAGCTTAGACGTATCTGCGCCGCTTTCATGTTCATTTTAATTTGTCTGAATGTCGTTGTAGGACGCACAAACGATTTGTTTTGGTCGGCGGCAACGTCTATTGGTTTAGTTTTATTTTATTTTTTTTCTTTTTGTTGCTGTTTTTGGTGGGGTTCAGGGTTTTCCGGGTTTATTTGTATTAATGAAATAGACATTTTGGGGTCATGCTAAAGTGATTTTTCAACGTCCTGTCCCGGCCAAGCTCCAAGCCGGGCCCAAACCAGCCACACCATGCGCTGTCTCACGTTTCATGTTCCTTATCTCTGGCATTTGCCATTCGTTTTTATTTTTTTTTTCGTTGTTGTTATTTTTGTTTGTTGTCGCCGTGTTTATTTTGGCTTTGTCTTGCCTTGTCGCCTGTTTTCTGGGGGTTTTTCTCCGCCAAACGAATCCTTTCCGTGCCGCAACAATGGACAAGTTTTTGCTGTGGATGCTGCTGCAGCGGCATTCGTGGCCTTTCAGCGACACTCGCAGCAAAGTGAAACTAATGGCAGTTAGTTTTGTTAAGTCGATAAAACTGTCAGTGATATGGCAGATTGTGTGGCAGCTGGCGGGTATCCTTTTTGCCGCGAGCCAACTTCAGCTTTTTGTCACCTAGAAAACGGCGCACAGAATGTATTCGTGTGTGTGTGTGTGTGTAAAATGGATTTGCGGGCGAGGCTACATTCCAGTTTGAGTTGGGTTAAAAAAGTTAAATGAAGTTGCCACAGGCATTAAATTTCCGCCATTATCAGACAAGTCAGCCCAAAAGGCCCCAGCTCGTGCCCGTACCGCACCGCACCACACCGCACCGCGCTGCCCTCCCCTTTCACGACCTAACTGCCAGGCAAATGCAAATGAAGCTGCCTGCAAAAGTGTTGCATTTGTCGCTGCATAAAGCATGCCACCAAGTGATGCATTTTGCCAGCTCACACACTCACACACTCGCTTCTGGCTGTGGCATAAGTGTAAGCATTGGGCGTGGCTGCTGGGCATGCTTGGTCTAAAAGTGAGTGACATTTTATGTACATTGGCTTCGGCTCGAGCTCTGGCCCTGGCTCTGGCTGCTGCTCTTGCCATGCATTGTGTTTTATGCTCTTCGCCTATACGAAATGCACATTCGCATATTTGGTTAGGCTAGGGCGGCAGGTGTGTGTGTGTGTGTGTGTGTGTGTGTGTGCCTGTGTGTTAATGGGGGGCTGCTATAATGTTGACTTATTCCGTAGACATGCTGCACATTTTTCTCTACAAATGACTTGCCATGTGTTCATCATCATCACCATCATCATCATCATCATCATCATCATCTGAGCTGAGCTGAGCTTTCAGCTTATTACTTTGTGCGCACCACGCGGCGTATGGTTGATGTGCATTCATTGTGTACATTACAAAGCAGAAACTACTTCACATTCCACCAGGTAGCTGAATTAATTATCACATATCACAGCTGGCGCACGTATCCTAAATCAAAGCATTTAACGCCCCTAATCCGCTTAATGCAAAGGGTTCTTTCCTCTAAATCCAACTCCACAGCCACACACACACACACACACGCACAGATTGCTTGTTGGGGTTTCTGTGCATTTGCAGTTGGGCAGGACGAATGGCACAAAGCGGGTTCTGAGTGTGCAGCGTATTTAGCAAATTAAAATGAAAATCCTTGGCCCAGGCGACCACAGCACAAAAAAGGTGACAAAAAAAAAAGAAGAAAATAAACGCCTCACGTCACACAGCGCGAGAAGAACAGAGAGGCGGAGGGGAGCGAGAATGGCGATCCAGGACTATTTAAACCCCAACGCGAATAAGGGACACATTGCACGAGCTGGCCAGGACGAGCGTCAGGCGTCGGCAGGTCGCTGTGATTGGCAGCACCCATCAAGCAAGTTAATTGCCCACAATTTAGAGAAGTGAACGTAGTGAAGTGGGTCCAAGCTGCCAGTCTCCATACCACGCCGCAACACTCCACACCACTCTGCACCACTCTGCGCCACTCTGAACCACTTGCCGTGCACTTCCGTCGCGCAAGCAAAGCTCATCAATCGAATTGAAGTCGGTCGCCCATCCTGTTTTGTCGACGCTCCTACACACGGCTCATGTTCAACCGCCCCCCAGCTAAATCTCAGCCATTTGTGACGCTATTAGTGCGACGGGTCAGTCGAGGCTTTTGGCTACGATACTCCCCGGACTATTCTCTATTTGTATATGGCTGTGCTTGGGTCCATTATCGTATATGGTGCGTTATTAACTTTTGTTGCCTGTCAACATTGAAAATTATATGCTAGCCAACCGCAAGCATACGCCCCGTAAAACTGAACCCAACAGCACACACACACACACACACCCCACCCACATACCCATTGTGAGTGTGTGGGGTATTTTTCATGCTTTGCCTTCGTCTCGCATTCATTACGTGAGTTGCATGGCGACAAGCACAAGGATTCACATCCTTATTCCCAACCACTTGCCATTAGCGCAGCAGGCGAAGCACATTTAATTTTGTTGTTGATGTTGTGCCCCCTCCGTTTTGGCATCTAGCCCCCAATCCTGCTGCTGTTGGGACTCTCATCTTGTGGTTTTTTTTTTTGGCAAATAAATCAAGTATTTTTTACAAATTGTTGTCATCATGTTGACATTTGCGACATCTTTATCGGCATCGAATTCTGGCCCAGGCCCATGCAAAATAGACCCTAAAAATGTATGAGTGTTAGAATGTGTATGTGGGAGAGACTTGTTAATGTAATTGATGTGCGAGAGAGTGAGAGACATGTATATACAAAATGCGGATCAACTTAAAGTGCCCCAAGTTGGGCGCCAAAAGAAATGGCAACTTCTAATTTCAAAGACTGACTATAATTATCGGTAAGTGGATACGAATCAAACAAGAGAAACCACTGCGACCTAACTCGGTGCCGGTCAGGCCATCAAGCGCAAAACAGGACGTTCAAACTTTTATGAGAAATTCAAGACTTCCGACGCTGTTAGCGACAGGCGATGGGCGGGCGCAAATTAAAAGGAAAACAAAATGAAACTGAAGCGAAAAGGAAGCGGGGCGGAGCTGTAAATGAAAAATTACATTTTATTTTTATTTATGTATTTGCATTTGCCATAAAACTCAGCGCAACATCATCAGCCGGAGTAGAAAACAACATCATGAACGTCGACGTTGCCCAAATGACTTCCGTTTCCGCTTAAGATGCAGCCACGCACACACACACACACACACACACACACACACACAAATATATGCAGAGCATCAGCATGCAGCGCGCGTCATTTGTTTGCGAGTTTGTTGTTTTTTTTATTCTTCTTTATTTTTTTGTCCACTGCCAGCTGGGTCTACACATTTGCTGTCCATTTTGACAGCGAAAAATTGCATCGAGCATAATGTAAATCGTGTCATTTGTCAAGGGCAGCTGTTTCCTAGCTGCCAACACAACAATAATAACAACAACAGCCTAATGACAATCGGCATGTCTTGACAGCTCATATAAAAGTGTGTGTATACAGTCAGAGAAAACACGTAAGACCGGAATAGAACTTTTAACTTTAGCTTTACCTATTCTTGAAATACTGATCAAAATGAAAAAGAAACAGTAAGGCTTACGATAACTGCAAGATTCTGTTATTAATATTTTCCGTGCCGAAAATACCCATTAAATATTCTCAACGGAAGCACAAACTATGCTACACTGAATAATGTTTTTGAATCTTGTCTTTAAGAACTGCAGAAATAACTTGAAATAAGAATCTACTTCATCATTAGCATTTGCACTTAACTTGAGTATACAAATGTCTACCATTTTCTCTGAGTGCATTAATAAATATATAGAAATGCTAACGCACATTGCTCATCAGCCGTGTAGTCGAGTAGATTTAATGAGTCTTTTGCGAAAGTAATTTGAAAATTTTCGGGCAATGCGTCTGTGACTTAGTCGGGAGGCGTCGTGAATGATTCAATAAACTAACTTTCATGAAGATTAATTAAATATTTCTGTCTAATTTGACGCAATTTATGCAATGCGTCGGACGGCTGGTTGGAGGGAGGTGGCGCTGGCAAAGAAAAATGAACAAAGTTTTAGCGTTCGCTATCTTAAGCTGTGTGTATGTGCCTGTATGTGTGTATGCGAAAGCTCTGCTGCTAAAACTTTTATTAATTACAAAAGATACACATAAATATTAGTAGCAGCGGCAGCAGCAGCAGCAGAAGTGGCTCCTGCTTTCGTTTATTTGCGAGAAAGCCACTCGTCGAGTTACTAACTTAGTTTCTTATGTTTCCTGCTTGGTTTTTGCAGTGTCCGGGTAAAGTTGACGAGCTCTGGGGACCACAAACAACAACAACAACAACAACAACAGCAACAACAAAAGCAATTGCAAACGAGGATTAACATGGCCCAGACCAGCGAAGCGTAATCAGCCACAAGCACGGCTACGATATGCTGCTATACGGTATACGCTGCACGGTATACGGCTTACGATCTAAGGTAAGTTGGGGATTGGGACTTGGTGTACTGACGGGGAAATAATGCAAGTTAATGCGCTTGTGTACACGGACATAATGTATAATTAATATGGCTCGACATGCACATTTGCCACAGGCCAACCTGTTGAGCCAGTTCTCACCTGCTCTGCACAACTGCCCCAATCCCCAGCCCCATTCTCCACAACCCGCTCATTGATAAGTGGCATAACGAGCACTCTTGCAACGGCTTAAAAGTGCTTACAAATTGCTACACGGCAATGTCTGTGTTACGGTCGAGCTGTGGGTGTGTGTGGATGTACGTATGCATGTGTGTCGGTAATATTAGTGGGTTGAGCTACTGCGCTGCCTCTGCTGCTGCTGGTGCTTTCATCAACACTTCAGCAGCAGCCGTTGAAAAAGAGCTGAAAACTGAAACTGCAATTGAAGCGCTTTTCAGCACAGACAGAAACCTGGACTCAAAAAGAAAAACAAGCAGAAGAGCAAGGCTTTTTAATGAGTCAAGTGGCCAACACGTCGCATTCAATCGCTGTGTGTGCATGTACGAGGGCAGGTTTAAAATTATGAGTTAAGACAAGTAATAAGAAAACCAAAACAGTTAAGGGATTTATATATATATATACATATACGTTTGAGCAACGGAATAACAAACGGCTGATCGCCAGTTCAAATTCAGCAGCACCCTTCGAATTGATATATAATTTTTATAGTTTTCGAATTATATTAATTAATAACTTGATGCACTTACCTTCCTCTATTTAATTTTTATCAGCTTCTTTTTATCATAGAAATTAAAACATTTTTATCACAAAACAGGAAACACATTTTTATGAGCACACAAATAATTATTTATGAATTAAAACACTTTTTCTTCGTACTTTTCCTTTCTTAAAAAAAAAGCATTTTACATTTTATTCCAAAAGAGGCAACACAATTAAACACAGAAAAAAAAATCACAATAAAGGATCACAGAAAAAAAATATTAAATTACTAATTTTACACAGATTTTTAAAAAAAATCAAATTAACTTTTTATCCCAAAAGAGGAAACACAGTTAAACACAGAAAAAAAAAGAAAAAAATAAATAATGACACCTTGGCACACTTTCTTTTTGCATTAACTGAAAAAAGAAAGATATAAAGAATTAGAAAAATTAATAAATTGACGAAAATATATAAAAAATATCTTAAATCATATATGATATACCAGCGGGTATAATCTTTTTGAATGCCTCTTCTAATGCCGTAAAGTTTAATAAACAAAATCTTACAACTTCATGGTAGAGGCTTTTGCTTTAGTTCAAGCACATTTACTAATTTCTTATTTAAGCCCTGAAAACTTAATAAAGATCGGACTACAAGCACCGAAGTCAGTCGAGAAAGGCAGAACACAGCAAAGCACAGCATTATTTTAATATGCGGAAACCGAACTAATTTCTCTAATCACTCTACACAAATAGAACAAGTTTTGACTTACGAGAGGAGTGCCTATTTCAATCAGACTACCTTAACAGATGGCATCAAAGGGGATTATATTGAATGATATAATATTCTTCAGTCTGCCCTCGTACATGTGTCTGTGTGTGTGTGTGTGTGTGTGTGTGTCTGCGTGTGTAATGACGCGCATTTGGTGCGCTTTTATGCCAGCGCATTCGTACGAAATAAACCGTTTGCTTTTGAAGTTCGTTTCTGGGCGCCATGCCAACCTTTTTTGCAGTTGCCAGTTTGCATTTGCTTTTATAATTGCATGGCGCTCTTAATGAGCCGAGCTCCATGCAATTTGTACAGCAGCAGCAGCGGTGGCAACGGCAGCGGCAGCGGTAGCGGCAGCAACCACTAGCATACAGAGAACGACTCACTGTGGTGCAAATCAGCCTTTCAGAACAACTTTGCCGCCACTTGAAGTTGAAGTTGAGTTCGGTTTGAGGTTGGTTAGTTGCTCGGTTGGTTGTCCGTTTGCTGGAAACAGCTGCCAAAAAGCGTTGCTGAAAGTTAAGCTATGGCCAAATGGATTTGCTCGTAAGCGAAATAAAACCACGCAACGAAACGAAATGAGTAAATTGCGGTTTCAAGTTCTCGCAACTGTTTTGCCGCCGTCCCCATCTTGCCGCACTGCCATGCCACATTCACCAACGCGTTGCCACACACAGCCGCACACGCCCCGCTGTTGCCCAGGCAATGCGTGTTACTCTTTACCAATTTTTTGCAATTTCCTAGCCGCCACCCCCCCAACCCGAAAACCACTTTGGTTGTTAAAATTTTTAACACATACTTTTTAAGAGAGGATGCGGGGGAGCTGTTGCTGTTGCTGCTGCTGCTGCTGCTGCTGTTGTTGTCGTTGTCGTTTCTGCTTGGATACGTGGCTTAAACATTTGATTGACTTTTGCGCATGGACACAATAACCAGCGCCAAAATCATGTTCGCTTTTAATGCCAGCACCAGCAACAAAAATGGCTGCCACAATAGGCAACATTTTCAATTGCTTTAAAGCGCTTGTATAAAATATTGCGCATACGCCCCGCAGTACAACGAACACACACACACAGTCAAAGAGGAACCCCTACACATAACGTATAAATGTATAATTGAAAACAAATTTTACTGCATGTAATTGAGAGTGTTTGTGTGTGCGTGTGTGGGCCTGTCTTGATATCGATAACAAACGCCACAAATTGAATTTAAATCATATTACATACACATACGACTACAGCCAAGGCGCATACAAAATCATGGAGTTTTAGCCTGCTTGTTGTCGTTGCTGGCTGCTTTGGGTCGTTGGGCGCAATGTTCGCTTGTTTTATTTATGGAGGCAGTAACAACAACAACAACAACAACTACGATAACAACAAAAATAACCCCAGACAGCACAACAACAAACGAGCAACGCCTTCGCTTTGCCCTATACAGCAAAAGGATTTCATTATTCTTACAAGCAGCTAGCAACAAATAGAAGAGCATATCTTTAACATGTTAATTATAAAATATAAAATTAAATAAACCATAGAAGTATAAATAAGCTTGCTAAGCTTTAAAGGTGCACGTATTCCAAGCTGTCGTTAGAGGATAGTTTTTAGTTTAAATGAAGGCCACAAAACTTGCTTAGAAACATTTTCAAAGTATTTGAAGCATCAGTTAAGTTAAATTGAACATTTATTTATTGGTTAAAGGATTTTAAGCTAGAAATTAGCGCAAGTAACACTAAACTCCATTATCGATAGTTTTGTAGTTTTGATTAATTTAAGAGAATTTTATTGCGAATAGTTTACAGAGGATTTCCGCTTTAGGCTCAGCTCATTAACATCTGCATATTCACAAATTACAATTTTCTAAGCGGAAGCTAATATTTATCGATAAGCGGCGTTATCGCTAGACCTATCGATACATTTGTGATACAATGCTTGAACTTAACTACACATTTGCTAAACAAAATTACACTTGATCAGAATTTTGTATATTCATTTTAAATAATATTTCTAGCTGCAGCTTTTATCTAACGATTACCCCAATTACCACTATTTATTAATGTAGATAGCTGTATAGCAAATCGTCCTCATTCGATTCGATTTAATTCAATAAACTTCTTTTGGTATCAGTCTGAAAACATTTCCGAACAAATTTGGAAATGGTTGAGTGCTTAAATTCCATTTGGTTAGAAGAGCATTTGGCACGTCTTTATAGCCGTTGAGTGTCGTAGTTTGTGCCATGCCTTGTTTTGAGATTTCCGTTTTATGCATTCAGTGCACACGTTTGCCAGAGACAAGCGAGCCAATCTGCTGGCTGCCTCAACCAGCTCCTGT